GCCAAAAGATTTATTGAGCCTTGGAGTATGTTTATACCATATTGTTCAACCATGATAGGCAGATAAACAGTAGGTTGAACATGCTTTTTATTTTGAAACACACGCAAATCAAATGTTTTTAGTAGTTTGAATTTTCAGTTAAAAACATTGTGCACAACTATTTGGCCTATAAAAATATTACATAGTGCATGCAAGTATATATGTATATACTGTTCATTATGACAAGCGTACAAGCATTATTCATATCGATATTTGACTGTATCCTCTGTAATTCTTAAAATAATGTACAATTTACGTTTTTGTCTTGAATAATGCACATCAATACACCCACATTTGTACTGTTACGCTGATCGAAAGCAAGTAAATTGTTATTGCCGTTATTTCAGTTTTCGGTGTCGAAGTATTGCACCCTTGTTCAGCAATCTGAGCTTTCTGTATCGCGCCTCTTGTTCAGTGTACATATTCAATATGTGTTTGATTTCGTTACGGTATCCACTKATGTCATTCAACGTGTCCAAAAGCTTGTCMACGTCGTCTTTCAACAACCGCAGACCCAGCTCTAGGTCAGCGTTCTCCGATTCARAGTAATAAGCACCATTCATACGTCCCCTAGCTATCTCGTAATAGTTGTTCAGGTCGATCACGTTCGTTCTCAAAAATGAGCATAGCTTTATGAGTTTCCTTTTGCCCCCACGAACCAAGAGATCGTGATCGACCGTCAGGTCATCAACGGGTTCTGCAACTAAACGTAATGGTTATTCGATCATTTAGATATTTTTAAATCGTAACCTTAGTACAAATACTAATCAAATCAATTTAATATGTCTTTATAATCTATTTAAATAGTAGTGTACTCGAAACTTACAAATATGCAAAAAGTAAAACGTCAAAGTTTACAAAGATTCGATCGAAGTAAATGTAAAGAAAAGGATTATAGGRATTTATGGTAAGTCTATATTTCATAAAATTAAATAAATGTTTTATTATGTTTAAAACTTAACGATACCGTTGTTATWTATTAAAAAAATTATTTAAAAATTGTACAATTTTTTATCTAATTACAAATAGCCAATTCCAAWAAATATAATTTTTTATTAAATTACATTTAATCCAGTCACTCAGTGATAAYATTGTTATGATAATAACGATATAAGATTCAAATTTTATGAGAGAATAATAATTTACCAAGCAATTAACAGTATAACAATACAAAATAATACTAGATATACTTAGCACCTACGTAATTTACCAACAATTATGAAAAAATTGTTTTCGCACTCAGTCTAGTAGTTTTCAATTATTATATCACTTACATTTTACATTTTTTTCTTGTGCAGTGTTGAACAGAACACTGCGCACCAATGCACAAATTTTGTCGCACGCCCATAAATTTGATTTATCATCATTCGTTTTGTTTTCAGTTTTTCTCTCTTGATAACGAAGTTTTATGCTCTTTTTCAATGACCTGAGTCTCACATACCGGTTCTCATTTTCAGTGTACATTTTCAACACATATTTGATTTCCTGTCGATTACCAGTGATGCCATTTAACGTATCCATCATTCGCTGAACGTCTTCATCCAACGACCGTAGTTCCGTCTCCAGATCGGCTAGTTCCGATTCGGTGTAATGTTCACCACTCACGCGACGCCTTTTTTTGAAAACGGATTTCAGTTCGTCCACATTCTTTCTTAAAAACAAACAGAGCTCCATGAGTTTTTTCATACCCTTGAGGTCCACGCTCTGGTGATCAACCTCAACGACAGCGTCCACGGGAAAATAATTAGGATTGCAATCTACCTCAAAATTTACATGTGTGTTCCCTGCAAAAACCTTGGATAACTTCTCGAAGTGCTTTCGAACCGAAACTCTTCGATTCTTTTCAATTTGATAATGATTCGGCGATATGTCCCAATGATTTAACTTCGAGATCATGTCATTTGTACACATTTTTGTATTTMATTCTTTCCGATACGTTTTGTAATAAGTAAAATACATTTGCTTTTTTAGAAATAATAATATGACATCTAYAGACTGTTTATTTGTTAAATGTTACATTATGCTGAGATATAAGTTTAATTTGTATAGTAACCGTTTTGAGTGTGTGAGGAAAAATTGTAATTTTACGTTTAAATATTTTGCTTAGAATTTAAGAAAGAATAAAATCATGATTTACTATGCTAAATATGTTTAACTATAGCAAGAAAAAATTAAAAAGAACATTATATTAAAAATAAATATAATTAAATTTAACTACCAAATATTTTTTTTGAAATGTCGACCAATTTAGTTAACATTTTACCTAAAAAGTCTATAAAAATATTTGTGAATTTCAAATCACTCTGCGAGATCTAAAAAACATTTTGAATATTGTATTCATGAAATTACTATTTTTAGATTCTTAAAATTCTTAGACTGGTTTAGAACAAAAAAATTAATTTATCGTATACATAGACTTAGTTAAAGAGGTATATAAATGTATAGTAAAATTTAACAGAAAATTGTATGAAAATTTGTGTTAAAGCTTTGTTTTAACCATTGATCAAATTTAAAATAAATACATTAAAATCATAACAAAATATTTATTTTTTTTTAAAACAGAAAAAATTAAGATGAATATTTAGTTAAAAATTAGCACTAAAAATGATTTCATAACATCATAATATAAAAACTTCAAATAATTAAATAA